TTATATATTTATTAGAATTCAACGAACCTTAGAATTATAATCAAACCTTCAAACCCACAATATAGATGCAATCTTTTTATTCACAACCCAAAATATACTCGTGGTAGCAATCGAAGCTACATATAAAAAGATCTGTTTCGAAGTGTAGGCATGAGAATTCTATTTGTCCATCTTATCTAGGAACGCACGCCGAAAATAGGTCAGTTATCTGAAGATCGCGTGTTTTTTTATGGTTCTGGTTCCCAAATAAAATGGGAATGTATTGTAACCTTTTCAAAAAATGAAAAATGAAATGAATGGAGTTTTACGTCCTAGTTTAACCTATTTAAAAGCGGTATGTGGAAATTTGATTTTACAAAGGAGAATTCCCAATCGAAATTGCGATATATGTTCACAGTAAACTTTGCTGCGTGTTGATTTCAAATGTAAAATCATTAAACGCTATGTTTCTATTGAAAATTGGGAGTCTTGCAATAAAGTGGTAATATAGGACTTTTCAAAGCAACAGACAGTGGCGTTTATATGATCCTTTAGGTGATGGGAAAATCCTCACACGGTACGTCCTGAAAGTTCTGAAAGACTTGCAGAAACTGCACAAGACAGAGCGGAAAAGATTGTTTGAACAAGGTGAATTAGTAATTAAAGGCACTGAACTCTGTTTAAGCACGTCAAAATGATTGTGTTCTGAAGTCTTTATGTAATCGGGATTTTCTGGTGTTTTCCACGAATAGTGACAATGAGCTCGTCCCTTAATTCAAGACAGAGGCTTTCACGGCAATACAATACTTTCCAAGAAATCACGAGTGGTGTAATCGGGATCACTAATATTTTTCCGCAAACGGATTGGAAAACTCGACCATGTATTCAAGACAGAGGTCCGAGAACTCCCGAGTATTGTAATCGGGATTAGTGATATTTTTCGCAATTAGATTACAAAGCTCGCCCATGTATTCAAGACAGAGGTCCTTGCGAAAATATCCGAGAAAACCCGAATGATGCAATCGGGATTACCGTAAAATGAGTGAACCTCTGTCCACATTTTTTCTGTGATTGCCTAAAATATTGGATTTTCAATGTAAATCGAATAAAAACCTTTTTTTTCTTCTAGTTATCATCTAATTGGATGAAATTTGCAGAAATTACAATTTTTTACAACAATATTGGAATATATCTATCGGGATAAATTTGGGTTTAGGAAATATAATATAGCAGACGATTGAAGTTTAAGGGGCGATTGAAACCCTGTTTATATCTTATTTATTTTTCCCTTTCCTTGATATATTATTACATAATAGGGAGAGCAAATGTGTTTTATCCCAAGTGTAAAGTCTATGGAAACAACAATTTTTACCCTTTGCTCCCTGGGGGCACACATTTCTCACACATGGATTGTCTGTGGTTGAAAGAATATTAAAACCGATGAAAAAATTATTATTAAGAAATACGTTTTTTCTATCAAAATTTTCAGTGTGCAATGTGGTACATTTTTAAGGTTAATGTTTTGAAGGAAACTGTGTTTTTCCGACTGTCTTCGGGTGGATAGAAATAACTTTTTTTTTAATAATTTTCAGTCTGTAATGTTGGACGATATTACAGGAAACCTTTGAAGAAAATTGTATAATTTTTTGGGATTTGAGAATTTTACATTTGAAATAAACAAACTCTCCTTCTATTGTCTGAGAAAGTTCGTTGGTATATCGACTTTTGTCTATTTTAGTAAGGTGGATTTGATTGTACGCTTCGAAACAGTACTGATAATCTGATAGAATGACTTTACGTGGATAAATATATATTTTTCGTAAGAATCACACTTCCCTCTTAAAAATTTCAACACATGGTGCAGAAAAGTAGGACGTAAGACTCCATTCATTTCATTTCATTTAAAAATTTCAACAGAAAAAGATGTCAAAATTTTAACTGAAAATTGTCTTCTATATAAACAAATTTCAAAATAATAATGTGTGCTCGTGTTAACATATTTATAAACTCAAAGACATTCTAATATTATCAGTTCTGTTTTAATCAAATTCACTTTAATAAAATCAGCAAAATTTAATATACATACGAACTTGCTCAGACAATAGAAATTGTATGTAAAATGACCATGTATGTTTACTGCCCTGGGGTATATTATTTACCCCAAACGTGGATGTTTTTGGGGTTGATGAATATTTCCACCAATTTAAATTATTAATTAATTAATTAATTAATTAAGAAATAGATAGATGTTTTTTTCTTCAGTTTTTTCAGTGTGTAATGTTGGACGTTTTTACGGGAGATTTCTTGAAGGGAATTATGATGTGTTTTTTAATGTCTTTGTGTACATAGAAATATATTTTGTGGAAATTTTACATTTGAAATAAACAAACCTCTCCGGGAAATATCATGTAAAAATGGCCTACATTCTGGAAAGACTATCAATATATAACCTAATATAAGTTTTAAATGCGCGAATTGTGTGTAAATCATGAAACGATACCATACAAGTTCGCAAGTATAGTCCATACTGATATTAGCCATTTTATGTTATCGCAAGGAGGCAATGATATGAAGACGTACTTATTCAAATTGTTATACACACGTCAACCAAATCCACTTTTATTGAGATGAAATGAGTACAATGCCCACCCCTAAACAAGTAAAGATATCAATGCATGACAAAATAATAAAAGAACGATATATTATAGTCTATTTACTTTGAAAAAGTATATATTATTCCAATTTATGTCCGGACATCTTGAAAGAAACCTCTGTTCTGAGGGAGAATGCCCGCCCTTTGAACCCGAAGTAGAAACGCTACTGCTTGTCTTAAGATCAATTGGATTTACTAGTCTTCTATAATTTTTAGCACAAAATTATTCAGTAGCTCCTTTCAAATTTCCCACAAAATTGAATATTATTCCATGGCCCATGCCTCGAGTAACTGATCATTGTAACTAAACACACTGTACATAACAGTGAACACAGCCAAGCATTGTTGGCAGATTTAACTGCAGTCTTTAGTCAAAGTTAAATTGAGTTTTCTCCCTTAGAACATAAATTGTTCTGGAAGTGTGGCATTTCTTTTGAGCTTCACAAGACATGGCATCAGGCGATTCTCTTTCCTTAGTACCGATCTGAAGGATGTAGAGCCTGGCATACTGCGGGGCGACATTCAAATTTAACCTAGAAGATCAACAAATGCTGACAAAAATATATAAAATGAAATTTAGATTTTCCCGTCAAAATTCCCTTCATTGCACACTTCAATATCTTCAGTCTTCTGTTCAGACAGCTCCCCCGGAAAATTTTCCAATGTAGGAAGCCGGAGAATACATCTAAAGCTACTTTGGAAGAGAAAGTAATATATATTTTTCAGTACAAAAATATCTTTGCTTACATATATATATGTAGGCCTACGTGTCTATTGACGGGACGTTTTTAAATAAATGTCAAATTATGTATGATTTGTAATACATTTTTCGTATGCTAATCTGTAGTGGAATATTAATTCTGAAAAGTTATTATGACAGTGACAGCTTCCATCAATTCCATTGTGTAGGTGTACATCTGTTTGCTGGAATTTGAGGGCTCAGCCAAAAATCTCTGGCCAAAATCATGCATTCGTTCAGATCTAACATTTACGCCTAAATCCTAAGAATTGGTTAGATAAAACAATTTATTTCATTAGTAACAATTCTCACAATTATAACAGTCAAAGACATAGTCAATGTAACTTGAGACCACTCTAATCTAAGATTATTGCTGCATGATGATTCCACACAATCAGGGCAGCAGACAAATCCTCCTACATTATGATTTCCATGTAAGGATTTCCAAGACAGGGCGGATACTTTCTTTTGTCACTGTGACCTTGATAGAAATGTCCAAAAACATTAACAGCATTATTTCACTCGTTTCGTAATCCTTATGTACTGCAGAATTTCCCTCATTGAACACAATTGCAAGTATGACACCATTTCATTTCTATCTGCATGCATGCTTCCTCTCATCATCCATACCACCATAAACTGAAAAGAAAACTTTGACCTCAACGACCAACTTTGACCCCTGAACTCGAACACTAACTTTGACCCTTGAACTCAAATATCAACTTTGACCCTTGACCTCAACCACCATCTTTGACCTTTGACCTCAACCACCATCTTGGACCTTTGACCTCAACAACTATCATTGACCTTTGACCCCAACCACCATCTTTGACATTAGACCTCATATACTCACTTTGACCATAACTGCCAACTTTGACCTAAACTTCCAAAGCTGTAAATAGCACAATACCCCAAATCAAAAAACAGAAATACAAACAATAAAGCTGAAATCTAAACCGAAAAAAGAAGAAATGAAAGCCATTAAGCAAACATCCAAATAATTGCTGATGGTCTTTGTATCATGGCAATTCATATTGAATTGTAGTGGAAAGGTAATCTTGGTATGATTGACTGGTATCTAGTAAAAGGTGCAGAAACACCGAATGAAAGCAGAAATACGAGGCCCGTTTCTCAAAAAATCTTTCAATAGAAATTTGTCATAAGTGTGGAATTTTACACTGAGAAATGCCATACTAAGACAAATATTGATTGTGAGATTTTTTTGAGAAACATGGCCAGATCTCGGTTGCATAAAGGTTAGCCAGCCTACTGATAGATAGAAAGAAAGATTTTTTACAAGGACAGCTTAGGTTCAAAAGATCCTGTCTAACAGCTGTTCCTTGACCAAATTTCTTGGCAATGATTTTACTCAGATTATCCATACCCATTTACAGCTGAGTTGAATAGAATGCTGAGGAAAGATGACTTATTCTAGCGCAAGGAGAAAGTCAATTCTAAAGGCACCAGTTAAAACCAGTCTCTAGAAGCAGAACTTATATAATGCAGAAACACCAAATCAATGCAGAAACACCAAATCAATACAGAACACCAAATCAATGCAGAAACACCAAATCAATACAGAACACCAAATCAATGCAGAAACACCAAATGCAGAAACACCATCTTCTTGTGAGCTCTTCAGCTGAAATAAAAAAGGAATTATGTAAATAAGCCATAGCTCAAATATTCATCTAGTCAACGCAACTATTTATTTTGAACACAACTTGCTTTTTTAAAGAAATACCACTTCTTAGAATAAACAGCAGATAAATGCATTGGTAATTATTACTCTATGAAATTATTGAACAACATTCACAGATTTTCCTATGGTATCTTGCTAATTTCACTTTTTTGGATTCCAACTTTGAAGTGTCAACATCTTCCACCCCACTGATGAATACATACACTTATAGGCCAAATTTGAGAATCTAAATTTTATGTTCATTCTAAAAAGGTAGTATTCCTGTGAAACTATGTCATAACTGATTTGTATATGCGGGCACAGACTTGAATGGTAGAAGAACTAAATGCAAGAATTTCATTTTGGAAAATGCCAGTCAATCATATAACCATAATTCAGTTGTAGAAGAACTAAGTCAGATTTTCACCAAACACAAGGCAATATTATGAAATTAGCACACTTCTTAGATAAACTAATTAAACACATATTGTTTCAACTTTTCAGCACAATTCACGTGCCATCATCAGATGAAATAATGATTGAATAAAACATAACAAAATGTATAAATGGTAACCATTTAAGTCTTCCCTATTGTTTTAACTCATTTATTTCCTAAATTGTAACTCACTTTGGATAATAAGCTTATGTTCTCTTATTTTGACTTCTCATTATTATCCTTTATACTGTTAATCTCTTTATTATTCTTAGGTTTTTTATTCTGATGACAACACATTGTTTGAAACGTTATCTGTTTAATTAGTTTATTAAAGAAATACGTTAAATCCATAATAATGCCTTGTTTCTGTTATGTACGCCTCATTTCTAAATGTCGTTCAAGTCTTATGTCCGATTTCATTTTAAAAATTAAGATGACAATGTTCACTAAATCCCTTGTAACATACCCATGGCTTTTCATCTGTAGACTTGGTTCTTCTTATTGAGTACTCTTTGGAGGTCCCTCTTTTCATCTGTTGATCTTTTCTTCAGCACTCTTCACTTGTTCTTCATACTTCTTTTTGTTCTTCATCTGTTCTGTAGGCGCCGCTTCATCTGTTCTTCTTCTGTTCCTCTTCATCTGTTCCTCTTCATCTGTGAATAGGAGGTCTGAAAAGTCATACAGGCCATGACCTCAAAACACTCCTATTGTGGCAGTGCTATTGCGGGTAGGTAAATTACCAGACGATTTACCTTTTCTAACCTGAAAAATATTAATACATAATTGCATATAATTAGATGACTACCATTTTAAGTAATCTTGTAAAAACAAAAACAATGTGTGAGAGGCCACGAAATACCCTTAAATTAGAGACCACAATTTGGGGTTATCATTCTTTAGGGTCTTGATTGGCTGTTTACTCATATGTAATTATTTATTTTTGAACAAAAAATAACAATATTCACAAAACTGCATCAGATAAGCAAAGCATTGCAAGATATTTCAAAGTAAGAATATCAAAATGGTTTGAAATTACAGATTAAATATTTCTTAAACAAACTTGCCTTGCGAGCTTCTGTGCCACACAATAAGCACTTGACTTCTGTATAATGAAACTCTATCTGTTTACACCTAAAATTAATAATATACAACTTAATTCTTTGATATGGCACAAATGAAATTATTCAAAAAATACACAAATCCAAACAGTTGATGGATTCTATGGAACAGTCTGTTACTCAGTAACAAGCGTGTTAATGCGTCGGGAACTTTACAGGAGGCTTGTTTAGTTATGTCCAAATGGTGGTCATTAGATCAATTTCAATAGATCTGGCCGAAGACCAGCTAGAAGACACATAATATAATAATTTGGTTTTGTGTTGTAAGGTTTTCCAAATGTAATATTTACAGTGGGTTTATAATGACTTGTATAGCAACATCACATCCAAGATAGCTATTAAAATATCCGTACCTGGCTTCGTTCCAAGAGGCGCCTTTAGGACATTTGTGCTCCACCATAACCTTATTGACCTCCAAATGTAATGTCCTGTTGAAGCTAAAGACCAGCTCCTTTGTTCTTGGAACCCTAAAATAATAAAGATTCTTATTATAAACATAGGTTTGGAAAGTTATGTGCAAACAGTAATAACTACTTTCGACCAAAGACTAGAAGAATATATCCATTGCCTTATCTGGAAGTTTTAAACAAAAAAACCTTTCTGTTAATTCTATAACATTAAAACTTCTAAAAGTAACCTGGTAATAGAAATCTTGAAAACTACCTCATAATTATGCATATCAAATGTGAATAACATCATTTGGCCAATATCTCTGCTCAAGGACAATCTGTAATTAGCCAGACAAGTCATGCTTTTCCCTCTTGTAAAACACCTTTGCCAATGGAATTATCAAATATGCACCCATTTCAGAGAGAAAGATACCATGGTAGTTTTTGCTTTTTTATTCCACAGCAGGGGACTTGTATATGAAATGGATTTTTAGAGAGCAATCAGATGACTGGAACACAAAAAACATCGTAAGATAAGTTTTCAAGATTAATGCTCCAGTACACCTTCAAAGGATACAGAAAATGAACAAGAATTTTTCAGGGTGGGTTTCACAAAATCTCACAGAACAGGAATAGTGATTGAAATTGAAATATGTAGGTAGGTACTGACCGTGCTATTTTGATCATCTAACTGTAAGTGGTGTATGTCAAACCCAATAGTAAAGACCACTATCGAGTTCCCGCTGACGGCTGAAAAAAACAAAAGACAAACAATGTATGGAGTCAAAATACCATATAATTTTGTATCTGAGGACATATTCTATTTATTTCTGGTTTATTGGGCATGGTTATTGAGCCATGAAATACGGAATCCTCTGAATTTTTGCAAATTGATATATATTTCTGAAAATTCACAGCTAATATTATCATGGTACTATAATTTCCAAACATCAAGATCTATTATAAACTTACAAAAAATGGGTGGAGGAACCGCCACATCTGTTCCTCTTCATCTGTTCCTCTTCATCTGTTCTTCATCTGTTCCTCTTCATCTGTGAATAGGAGGTCTGAAGAGTCATACAGGCCATGACCCCAGAACACTCCTATCGTGGCAGTGCTATTGCGGGAAGGTAAATTACCACACGATTTACCCTTTCTAACCTAAAATCAGACACAAAATATACTTAATTTTTTCTTTAAAGTCAAGCACGTATAAATATTGTCAATCTTCTTAAATAAAAAATTTCATTGAATGGAGATATTCATTCAATTTTGTTGACTGGTCAAACAGCTCATTTGGTTTGGTTGAATTCTCAAGACCTTGGCCACTCTAACCCTTCTTTATTTTTTCTTTTATATTTCTCCTTGTACTGATAAGTCAATGGTACCAAATGACATTTCAGAAATCCAGGTGATATTTAGTGACACAGGTTTTAATTTTGAAAGCAGAAGCAGGTGTGGCATCATAAGTTTATAAACCTTAAAGAAGATTTGAGCTCACAGCACCTTATTGCAGTTTACACAGTTCCTAAGTTGTTAACCCCTTCAAGCATAAATTTATTTTAGCCAGGCAAAGGATCGAGGAGTCTAAATGATCAGGGATAAGGTTAGCATTTTGCATTAAAGTACACTTGCCTTGCGAACTTCTGTGCCACACCATAAGCACTTCCATGTAGTGAAGTTCTATCTGTTTACACCTAAAATTATAAATATTTCAAACATATGAATACCAAGTCTCTAAAAATTTGGTCAATTGTTTTGTTCGGATTACGGACAATTCAAAAACAGTTCATATAACAGCAGATTTATCAACAATAAAAGGGATTGTCAAGAGTATTTTTACTTTTTTATGTGTATTGGGGAACAACAAAAGTCTGATTGAAAATTGGAATTGTGCAAATTGATACTATCAGTGTCCCCGATACCTATGAAAAATCTTTACAATCCCTTTAAACATTCCAAGTTTTAAATAATTCAATTCAAAATTTGTTACCTTTGGTCACATATGAAAGCCACTTTTTAGCTTGGAAACTAAAATAGTGCAAATAGATACATATTTTAAAATGCTGGAAATCCTTTTCATATTCCTTTCTTACTTTGAAAGATACAGTATAAGTAATATGACTTTTATTGCTATACCATACCATATGAAATATTTCAAATATCCTTACCTAGCTTCGTTCCAAGAGTCGCCTTTGGGACATTTGTGCTCCACCATAACCCAATTGACCTCCCAGTTTAAATGTCCTGTTGTAGCTAAAAACCAGCAACTTTGTTCTTGGAACCCTGGAAGAGAAACAACATTTTATTTATGATAATTTATTTTTGGGACACATTAGCCATTTTCAGGGGTTGATTTGGGTCATGTATATATGTAAATAGTCTTCAGAAGTGCTAAAAATGTATGCTAATTCCTTCAAAAATACCTCAAACTGGGCATTTCTTTTTCTTTATACCAGTAGTGTTTTCTGTAAATGGCAGTCATCTTTCTAACACAGATTATTCTGGACATACACGGATTTTAATAGTCAGCTCTTTTTCGATCTGTTAAGGTATTTTAACAGGGCCTTGGTTTATTGCCACACCCGAAAAACTAGAAACCTTTTCCATATCCGCACCTCCCACCTACATCACTAACAAAGGGAAATCAGGTTTTACAGTAAAAAGTTCAATTTATAAGTACTGCAATTCATCTAGATAGCTTTCCAGGCAGGGTAATATATGCCCACTGACTGCTTTATTTTCAATTAAAATATTTGGAAGAATATTCAACCATATTTGTCTTTCAAATATTGATAATTTGGTATAAATCTGTTCTCTTAGGTACTTACAAGCTACAATTGAACACTTTCGAACGCAAGGGCAATAACTCATATTTTTGATCTTCAATAGTGGCTATCCATAAAAGATAATAAACACAACAAGTTTTGTCAAAATCCATCAAGAATCGTCCCTTCTGAAGTTTTTACAGACTGATAGACATTCGTGATGGCAAAGTGGAATTTATAAAACTTTGTATACTGACCGTGCTACGTTGATCATCTAACTGTGTGTGGTGTATGTCAAACCCAATAGTAAAGACCGCTATTGAGTTCCCGAAGACCTGACGGCTGAAAATAAACATTTAAATTCAATTAAAGCAGGTATCAATAGTTAGCCTTTATATATCAAGTTTTTATGAGTCAGACATCATTGAACCTTTGATGCAGTAGCCAGTGGCAATCAATCTGGATTTATCAAGTGATTAAGAGTCCGACATCATTGAACCTTTGATACAGTAGCCTGTTGACAAAAGTCCAACGTCTTTGTGCCTTTCATACAGTAGACTATTACTCATGTCACCATCTTTGGTGGTAATTTATTTATCAAGTGTTTACAAGTCAGATATCATTGAGCCTTTAATACAGTAACCTGCATGTCACTATGTTTCATTGGTTCATATATACAAAGTTCAATAATCTAATTCATTGATTGAAATTTTAAATGAATATAACGAGCCATTAAATAAAGTCAAATACCGAGACTAGGTCAAACTGCTTAATTAACAATTAGTACTCTCTGTTTTTAACTAACCCATTCAGCTTGATCAAGTAGATACATAGATAAATTTAGCATTTAGAAATTTGTTCAGGTATAATTTACAACATTTATAGATAATGAAAATATTTTACAAAGATAACTTGAAAGCATTTTCAAGAACAAGGGCAATAACTCATACTAAATATTTTTCAATTCTTCTGATTTTCAATAGGGATCATTCTTGGGTGATCACGAGCTAAAAATTGAACGAGTTTTCAATAGCATGGGCAATAACTCATACTAATTATTTTTCGATTTTGCTGATTTTCAATAGGTTTTATCCTTGGGTGATAACAAACACTCATGCCAAGTTTCGTCAAAATCCGTCAAGAATTGTCCCTTTTAAAATGTTTACAAGCTAAAAATTTAACGCATTTTCAAGAACAAGGGCAATAACTCATACAAAATATTTTTCTATTCTTCTAATTTTCAATAAGGTTCATCCTTGGGTGATTACGAACACTCACACCAAATTTTGTCAAAATCCGCCAGGAATTGTGACTTCAAGAGTGTTTATGATCTAAAAATTGAACGCGTTTTCAAGAACAAGGGCAATAACTCATACTAAATATTTTTCGATTTTTCTTATTTTCGATAGGGTTTATCCTTGGGTGATAACAAACACTCTTGTCAAGTTTCGTCAAAATCCACCAAGAATTGTGCCTTCTAGAGTGTTTACAAGCTCAAATTCGAACGCGTTTTCAAGAACAAGGGCAATAACTTATACTAAATATTTTTGGATTCTTCTGATTTTCAATAGGGTTCATCCTTGGGTGATTACAAACACTCATGCCAAGTTTCGTTAAAATCCACCAAGAATTGTCCCTTCTAGAGTGTTTACGAGCTAAAAATTGAACGCGTTTTCAAGAACAAGGGCAATAACTTATACTAAATATTTTTCGATTCCTCTGATTTTCAATAGGGTTCATCCTTGGGTGATTACGAACACTCATACTAAGTTTTGTCAAAATCCATCAAGAATTGTGTCTTGTAGAGAATTTACGAGCAATTGTGGACGGACGGACCGAGGGACATGGGTGATGGCAATATACGCCCCCCATGTCATGTAACGATAGGGTTGACACAAATAAATGTAGGCGCATAAAAATCCAGTTTGACTCTCTCAACAATACTTAATAATATGTAAAAAAAAAGAACAGAATTCAGATATCTTCCCTAGTTTGGGAAATCATGGATGTTTTTCTCAGTATGAGCAAAATAGTTTTTACGATTTAAACCAACAGTTCCACCCACATGCATGTTTGTTTTCTGTGTAATCAGCTAAGTGAAGAGATCAGAGCCATTGCAGCAGTAGTAAACGTAAATGTTGTATCCGAATCCACATCGACCTTTACTGAGATCCATAAACCACTTTGGCACTAGTCGGAAAGTTACTTGAATCTCTGTCATGTCCGGTTTATATCTTAAACTAGAAAACTAAAATGAATGAATTCCATATAACCACAATATATTTTAGTGTTTAAGAGATAAATTTGAAAGCATTTTCAAGAACAAGGGCAATAACTCATACTAAATATTTTTCAATTCTTCTGATTTTCAATAGGGATCATTCTTGGGTGATCACGAGCTAAAAATTGAACGCGTTTTCAATAGCAAGGGCAATAACTCATACTAATTATTTTTCGATTTTGCTGATTTTCAATAGGTTTTATGCCAATTGTCAAAATCCGTCAAGAATTGTCCCTTTTAAAATGTTTACAAGCTAAACATTTAACGCGTTTTCAAGAACAAGGGCAATAACTCATACAAAATATTTTTCTATTCTTCTAATTTTCAATAGGGTTCATCCTTGGGTGATTACGAACACTCACACCAAATTTCGTCAAAATCCGTCAGGAATTGTGACTTCAAGAGTGTTTATGATCTAAAAATTGAACGCGTTTTCAAGAACAAGGGCAATAACTCATACTAAATATTTTGCGATTTTTCTGATTTTCGATAGGGTTTATCCTTGGTTGATAACAAACACTCATGTCAAGTTTCGTCAAAATTCACCAAGAATTGTGCCTTCTAGAGTGTTTACAAGCTCAAATTCGAACGCGTTTTCAAGAACAAGGGCAATAACTTATACTAAATATTTTTGGATTCTTCTGATTTTCAATAGGGTTCATCCTTGGGTAATTACAAACACTCATGCCAGTAGTAAACGTAAATGTTGTATCCGAATCCAAATCGACCTTTACTGAAATCCATAAACCACTTAACTATAGTCTGTCATGATGGAGCATGGTATATGCTACCGAAAGTGACACTCCACACTCGATTTATGATCTTCGGAATGTTTTTTGCCTGCTGCAGAGACGTCAGACATGGACTGTCCTAGCAGTAGATAAGCCGGTGATAGATTTCATACCAATATTTAAACACAGATTCATACTCTTCACATGTAAAACTGAACAGTCAAAACAGTCTGAAGTAAATACAAACCTTAAAATATAAATGATTTATCTCATCCAGATAGGATGTATTCCGTGTATTACATTATTTAATGATAGTCTTACCCATATAAAATATTTTTAAAAAATAATTTTTATTCCTACCTACCCTATTCATATGACCTTATAAAAACGGAACCATGAATAATTTTTTCCACCGTCTTAGTGCTTTAGCCTATGTCATACGAAATTGACCCAACTCTACACTCGATAAATTTACTACGTTTTCACATGACGAGAACTACTGTCAACACCTATTCCTATTTTGAGTATGAACATGGATAGTTAATAAACATTCTGATATAGAATTAAGTAAAATAAAAGCGATAATCTACCCGAAGAGAAAAATAAAACAGCTAATTCCAAAAAGGTGTATATTTATTTCAATCAGAAAAGACTGAATGAGCCTCCTAAGTGCGCAGTCAAACAACAATGCTTCAGATCACAGTTAATTTAACTTTTAACCTGTAGCCCTATACGGTTATATTTAGCTGAAGCCGTCAGTGACTGTTGACCTTTGAAACCGATGGCGGCGATGGGTGTTAAGGTCCGAACTCTACCTATTCTTCGAATTGAACAAAAAATATGTCTTGTCGAGACAAGAATTCCGCTGTGCATAAATTTAGGAATGACAAGGAATGAATATTGTCCCTCCCCCTTTCACGATTTTCAACTGACCATGCAAGGACAAAATTTGACAGGAGTGTCCAGCCCACCCCAAGCCCCCCCCCCCCTCCCCAACTGCACTGCTAATTTCAACCACGCCGGTCATATTCATTGCAACGACTTGATTTTAGGTCTTATATGTTCAATTACTTCTCGATCGAACCTCAAACCTGTCCAAGGAATTAAGAACTTCAAACCTGTCCAAGGAATCAAGAACCTTCATCCTCTACCTCTCCCTTTATTGTCACTACAATTCTTATAGAACCAAAAGCAATATTAGCAAACCATATTTATTCATAAAATGAAATTGAGTCTTACGTCTTACTTTTCTGTAACGGACAAGATTTTTAATTAATATGAAACTCATTATCGATTCCTTACTGTTGAGGTATATTTAATGCGATAGCCTGTAGCACAGAGAGCCTCTGTTTATTGTTCCATCCAACAAACCCTGTATTTCAGATAAGCGAGAAAGCGTCCAATTCACTGAGCCACCGCAGATAACAGTTAACGCAACACAAGGCAGAAACTGATAGTGACAGAAATCAGATTTAAAACTAAAAGGCTGCATTTAAAAGGCAAACATAATGCATCAAAATTTAAAAAGTGTCAGTTTGGATAAATTACAAGAAATAAAATTCTGTACAGTTAAAACAACTTCGTTAACCAAATATATATCATGACAAAACGGGAGCAGTGGACTCAAACGAAAAGGACCATGAGATGTAATGAAAGTAGTTAACACCACCTGCCTTTCAACCGGCAATCGAAACTTCTATACAAGTCATCAAAACAATCAAATCAAACCTTCAAGATTTTGAGAAAATCAGATACCATCAGCAGTCTCGATATGGATCCATGTGAAAATACCCAAATTCAAAACTATTTTTTTTACAAGAGTGAGAACTCAGGTTCAAGAAGATTTTGTCAACATGCTAGTCCTTGGTCATCTAATGAATGAAGTAAAGTCCTCAAAAAGTTTAAAAATTGAGATCTTCCTACAAAAATGGTTTAAGGAATTGCGGATACTTTTCTATCTGTACGAAATGTCAATTATAATTTGTTGCTGATGGAGCTGCAGTTTGTCCTCGGAATGTTGAAAAAGCCTAAGATCAACTTATTCAAAGTGGGTGGAGAAACTGAGGCAATTCCATACCAATACAAATTAGAACCCATTTAGTATCATTTGTCAGATGGAAATCAAATGACGCCAAGATTTCAAAACTCAAATTAAATGAGCAGCAGTCTGTCTAAAAAATTTCAAGATCAACTTACCAAAAATGGGCGGAGTAATCGCCCTACTTCTTCATCTGTTCCTCTTCATCTGTTCTTCATCTGTTCTTCATCTGTCCTTCATCTGTCCTTCATCTGTTGGCGCGCGCCGCTTCATCTGTTCTTCATCTGTGAATAGGAGGATCTGTCGGGTCATATAGGCCATGACCCCAGAACACTCCTATTGTGGCAGTGCTGTAGTGGGTAGGTAAATTATCAGACGATTCACCCTTTCTAATCTGAAATTGAATCAAACCAAAATGGTAACGAAGCAAAACGTACAACGATCCCCACGACACCAGCAAATTTCATCAGCAATGTTTCAACAAAACGAGGCCCTGTTTAAGTCTTGGGCCGGACTGATTTGACAATTATTGATTCAAGTCTAACCGTTTCAGTAACAAAAAATCAGTAACTATTTCAGCTATAAAAATCAGCATCTGTTTGAGAATTAAATTATAAGCAGCAACTTTACAACGAGTCCGAATTGATCAGCAGACAGACAGGTGAGGAATTTCATATTCCCTTTGACACTGAATTATCACCCTGATCACACTTTGCAACTTGGTATGGAACTTAAGTTCACATAGCTTAAAGATGGATTTCCTTATTTTTTAGTGTCAAATTAAGCAAACTATTTGATTAATTGGTGTTTCTAATGAATTATGGTGTATTCTTAATAATATCATTTTCTTTTTATTGCATATAATTATGAGTCTTAACCAATCACAATTGTCTATGTATATACAGTCTGGATAAACAAAAAAATACTTTTTGACCTTTCTTGATCGGTCACTCATTGGAATTCTGCTGGTAATTCTCTTCTTATTTAGATAATTATGAATTAATAATGGACGAGTCATTAGAATACCTCTACTTTCTATTCATATAAGTATTAGCATTTTCATTTTCATAGATGAAAATAAGGGAACCCATCTTTAAATGTAATATGTTAACAAGTTGATTTTACAATTTCATTGGTTGACGAAAAAGATGTTTGCTAAGATCTAGAAACTTCAAGAGTATCTCCATTCAAGGAGCAATTTTGGTTTAAAAAACACAAAAGCAGCCAAATTTTGGTTGATAAACATAAATTGGATTTAGATTTTGGATGAAATGTTTTAAAATTGTATACAGAAAGATATTTAATAAGAATGTAATATCACCCAATCTTAATTCAGAGGTGCCTAAAACAGTCAACTCTTCAAGGGATGCCGAGTTGTCAAAATCAGTAGCAGATTCGAAAAGGGGAAATTTTGATAAAATAAGGTGCTGTCAAGAACGAACAACCATTTTAACAACATAGGTTCTCCTGGGATCTTTTTAACAAACTGATCCGTGTCCCAACCTCTTGAAATTTATGATTAGGTTGACTGGAATGGGAACGATGACAAGTCAATATCCTTAAACCAAGACCACCATTAACCTCAAAATAATGACACGATGTCAGCAGAAAGAGAGTTATCGTTGTCTTTTGTGTTACGCCCATCAAGGTTGCATCCCCTATTATCAAAATATGTTTGTCAGTCACATTTGAACTTAAAATGAGTTAAAATGAGTTAAAAGGAGTATTACGTTAATCTATTCTGCATCTGTTTGAGTAGCAGTGCAATGAAGATAATAATGCCAGGACCGTAGTATTAGCCTTCTTTTTTGACGTCTTAATGTCGAGAGATCTTTCAGACGCAAAGCCCGTAGCACACTGAGCCACCAAGGCTCCCTAGTAATATTTGAACCATTAGACTTTATGCATAATATGCCAGACCATGCAGAATTGGTAAAATATGATAATGTGAAACTTACACGAGGAGCTTCCATGCCACACCATAAGCACTTTATTCTTATATAATGAAGCTCTATTTGTATACACCTAAAATAAATATTTTTACGTTATGTATTTCATCACAAAATATTTGCGTGTATGATATACAGTTTTCCACCCTGAAATAGGTTGGACGACTTATGGGTGCACGTTATGCCCATCGACAAAGCTTTGGAAATTTTTCACTATAGATTATCCAATCAATTATTGCCAGTCTGCTTTTACATATTTTATTGCATTTATTTCTATGGGTTAGTTCAGTTAGTCAAATCCACTCAACACCAAGACCGTATTGTTGTGTGGATAGTGCTCGAGTTTTTGTTATCAGGTATTAGTCTGAAACTTGTTCATTTCTACCTAGTTTTGACAGAGCCGATTCAGAAAAATTTGGATGTTTCCACGCTGCCATTTTCAAGATAATTAAGAACTGATCCCCATACTTGGTCTATGTTTTAGGAAGATAAACAATTAATGCTGATTCCCTGCTTTAGAAGCAAAATTACTCCCCATAACAAACTTTTTTTTCTGATTATGCCTATTTTGATCAAATAAAGGCGAATGAGTTTCTCGTACCCTACCCGTGATCCTTCAAGTCAGTATTCCCATCACTGATATAAATCAATTCTCAACCGATTAAATTCATTGAACAATTGTGCACAAAATGATCATGTATAGATTTGAACAGCTATACCTTTTGAAACACGACTTTTGTTGGTCATATTGGCTGGAGAAAGTGGGATTTACTTCTCATTGATTAAAATATTAGACTACTGAATCAAAGGTAATATATAAAGTAAACTCGAACACCTTTTTTAAATCAACTAGGTAGAAGTGAACAAGTTTCTGACGATTATGAAATGAAAATTACTCTTAACTTACCTCCGTTTGTTTCAAGAGAGGCTGGGTGGACATGATATGGCAGCTTAGCCGAGTACAACCTAGGTGGCCCTAACAAGGTAGCCCACAGGCTGCCACAACTAAACTACACGAGAGCCCAACCCAAAAACGCGAAAATTTTGCTCCGTGTGAACTACCTCCAAAAACCTAGGTTGCACACCATATCTAACCATGTTGTCCGTAGCTGAAGACGAGCTACTATACTCGAAACACTGAAATGTAAGAAAACGCCATAGTAAGAAAAGAATAGAAATAAAAAACTTTGTGTTTTACGAGGTTATGATTTTTATTTTTACTTTTCTGATCAAGCTCACTTAAAATCTATATGTAACACTTTTCAAAATCATAATTTAAACTTAAGTCCAATAAACTAAACAAATTGTAAGATTTGGCTGTTGTCCCTTTCCATGTATCTAGTAATATTCTCAGATCATATAGTTTGTACCGAATTGTCTCATCATGATATCTGCTGTAAGTATCAAGGGTCACAATCATCAGACGAACTCAAATACGCTTGATAAATCATTATGCCAATCATTATTTCCAAGCAAGCAATTATACAAGTACGATTTATTTGTATGTAAAGAGCACAATTTTATACCCTTATAATCTACAACTATGATATACTAACCTAAACAGGAATGGTATCCAACCATGGTGTATTAACTCAATAGTAAAAACCGCTATTGAGCACCCTGACCTGAAACGAAATGACAAAATACAATAATATCATATTGAATAATTACGCATGGTCTTTGATAATATCCCCTGTTCGAAGCAATTTTATGTCATTGTGATGGCATTTTAACTTAAAAATTACACTGGTTAAAATTTCCAAGCTCGGGCAGGCCTTAGTTCTGATTCCATAGAATGCCGCCTTTTTTCACTCATATTCCTTATTTTGATTTCTAGTTCAGAACCAAGCTTTGCCTCAAAGCCCCGTATCTCAACACAAATTTGCAATGGATTTTTGCTTTGAGTCTTAAATGTAACTTAGATATTTTCTTTCTTATGGAAAATAGGGAGTATCTTAAATTTGAGAGAATTTCAAAAAGTCGACTTACCTGTTGCTATAAACGAAGCAAACTGACTACTGACTGAGCGAGTAGTCACTAGTTAGGAGTGAATTTCACTTACTATGACTCTTGTGATTAAAATCTATTGTCTTGATTACTATTCTGTAAACCTTGTATATCGTCCGAAATCTGCTGTTTTTCTCGCCTCTTATAAAGACAATAGACGCATTTTTAAAAACAGAGTTAAAATCAAATTAAAAAAAAATTGCTCTAATAAACGAACTATGGGCGTTATTCTTAGAAATATACCACAGAATTATTTCCAAATAACCAAAGTTTGCATGAAATGTGCACTTGTCCACCTAATTAGACCCATAGAACCAAATTAAAATCAGATGCCAGTGAGCCAAAGAACCAAATCAAAATCAGTATGTATCTAAATTAGGTATTTGCAGTCGGTTCAGAACACAAATAAATTTTTTGTGTGAAAACTTACAAAGTTATAGAACAGAAAATAACCTTTGAAAAATTTTATGCATATTGGCCATAGAAGCAAATACGGCCTATAGACAACTTTTTCAAATACAAACTTTTGCCTCAAGTTTTGATCTTTTCCTACTAATTAGACCCCAAGGAATTCAAAAAACACAAGAAATCAAATCCAAATCTGTAAGTTTTCAAACTAGCTATATGCAGTCTGCATATTGGTGCACAAAGAGTGCTCAGATTTTTTGCGTGAAAACTTACAAAGCTACAATGCTGAAATTTTGCACCAATATTCACATGGACTATCTGGACATGTCAGACAAAAAACAGAACACAATTATCTGCCTGCATATACAGTTTTCTCCTGTTACATCCACTGTACATTCCCTTTCTAACCTCAAGTTATTTTCATTATGCTCCCCAACTACAACAGCCACTGGCAAGAAGCCAGACATAGAAACACTAATCATCAACCAAACCAACATCACGTAGCTTACAACGGCCCTGTCTTCCATCGACCTCTACCACCTACCAATCGCCGACCACCAACCAACCCATCCAGCTATATCCCACCTCATCGCCGACCTACCTACAACACAGCCTACCAATCCAGAGGTAACCACCGACCTGACCAACAACAGAAACGACAACCAGCCCACCGACGCTAACCAGTCCCCACTCATAAGGAGGAAGACCCCATTGTGAATGTGAAAATGGATTTTGGTACCACAGACAAATGTTGAAATTTGCCAATTTTGCCTTTTTTGAAAATACAAATTCACCACGGTCAAACCAGTTGAGATAGGATGCTGAAATTTTGACAGGTACTAGTTTGAAATCTTAGCTTTGCAATGCCACAAACCGCGATTCCATATCTGCCTTACTTTGGAAGCACTGAGCGTTTTAGTTTCGTCCATGCAAAACCGGATTTTTTGGCACTTTTCCGCAAAAAAAGTGCTCAGAATTCACTTTTATGCACATTGGGGGAGAGCTAGAGAAGCACCGAGTCCAAAAAACCGGGTTACATCGATTTCCGAGACCAAAAAAAAAAATTAACCTACAAATGGATTTTGGTACCTGCTGAATTGTACCAATTTTGACATATTGGAAATCCGAACTTTGCAGCTTTACCAACCATTTGAGATAGGATGATGAAATCTTAGCTTTACATTTTAGACATAAGACAAGTTAAACACGGATAAAAGCATCGACATTTTCCATAATAAATCTCGTGACAAAAAATACACAAACACGTGCTTTTCAGTATTTGCATTGAAAAAAAAGAAATTATTTCCTTTACCAAAACTTGAAATTTCCAAAAATTATCCTCTTAAAAAACGAATTTCAAAGTGATCATGATTATGTTTATTTATT